ACGAGAGAGATATGAATTAAAATGTAAATTACTTTTGGGAATAATAGATGTACCAGACTTATTTTATAGAAGCACCAATTCCTAACGGAATTTAACGTTCTTGGGCTCGTTTTGAAGCTATTAGAGATGTTAATAAATTTACCGATGCATAATTTTAAAATATTGGCCTAAAGACCGGTCATAAACCGGTTAAAACCGATGCAGACCGAAACCGGTCTATAGACCGCAAAAAACCGCGGTCTGTGGTCTTTTTGCGGTCCGGTCTGGTCTTTTGACTTCTGGGGAAAAGGCAGACCGGTTACGGTTACGGTTAACACCCCTGGGCATCAAAAAACCGGACCGAACCGGACTTTCAAACACTAGAGGACGGTTGGAAAAACCAACTCAAAGTCGGAGATATGCAACCGCTATAATTCAACCAACGGCTGCAGGAACTCCGCCGAAGACTGTCGTTTCAGACATGCCTGCAAACGATGCAAGCGAATGGGTCATGGGGAAAAATCGTGCAATGTCAAGGAGAGTTCTAATGCATGAACTTCATCCAAAGTATCTCAGATACAATGTCTGGGATGGTGGGGATCATTTTTCACACTCATCCGCTGACTGGTCTGAAACAGCCTCTCCACTACCAACCATCCCAGCATCTGAACTTGCCAATCAACTTGTTGCAAAGACAATTAGAGATAATCCCCACCTTTTCAATATTGTTACTCCCATCTTTGTCGACCGTTTCCAAGAATTACTCAAATCACATCCAAACCAACCTTTTGTCTTATCGGTGTGTCGTGGACTCTGTGAAGGTTTCTGGCCTTGGGCCGATACCCATATTGGAGAATATCCTGACACTCTAGATTTATCGTTACCCGACCCCGACAATCCTGAAGAAGCTGAGTTTCTACGAGACCAGTGAGATCATGAGTTGTTCAAAGGTCGTTTCTCTGACTCTTTTGGCAACAAACTACTACCTGGCATGTACTGCATGCCAATATTTGCTGTCCCAAAGCCACATTCAACTGATTTGCGAATGGTGACTGACCAAAGCGCAGGGAAATACTCTCTTAACAGCATGATACGGAGGGAAGACATCATTGGCTACCCCCTTGACAACCTCCAGCATCTAGGCGAATTTCTCCTCTCCATGCATCATCGAACTCCTGATTCCCCCCGT